GGTGCAGCACCAGGGCAGCGGGGGGCAGCTCCCACTGGCAAGGTATCACTGCGTGGCCCCGCTGTCCCCAGCTGTGCTGGGTCACGTCCGCCGGCTCTGGGGGCCCTGGGGAAAGGACATGGCAGGAACTTGAGCCCACAGCCTGCACCTGCTCTCGATACAGATCTGGGGGGTGCAGGTCTCCCCTGCCCCCCAAGACTACATACAGCAGTGGGGAACCAGCCCTCTGCCTTCAAAAGCCAGCTGTGTCTCCGTTCTATTCCCCATTGGGGCCCTGAAGCTGTGCATTGTGGCCCTGGTCCCCAAGCTCCACACAGCTAGGCAGCAGCCTCAGCCTGCGCCTGCCCCTGGTACTGATCTGGAGGATGCAGGTCTGCCCTGCCCCTTGGGAGTGCACACAGCTGTGGGGGGCCACACTGCCCAAGTCCACAGCAGGGGGGACCGGGGGCAGAGGGCTGCGGACCAGGTCCGCACCCCTGGCAGCTAGGGGCCCCCTCTGGTGGGGCTGGGGGAGCAGAGGCTGTGGGTGGGGAGTGAGGAGTACCAGCAGAGCCAGAGGGGCTGGGGGGGGGGCTTTACTTTTAATCATGGATTTTGGGGGTTTTAGCAGAGAATTTGTGATTTTTTTTTTTTTTAATCAGGGAAAACCAGGATGTCTGCTGAACAGTGATTTAAACTGTGATTTAAATCTATTTGATTTAAATCAAACCCACCCTGCTGATGACTTAGATGGGCTACAGGCCTAACCTACAAAACTCCACTCAGTGAAGAGGGGAGGAGGAAGCTGTACTTTTTTTCACCATCGGATGGGTTCTGATCCTTGTTAAAGGACTGTTAACAGGGTGATGGTGAGAGCAGTCCTTTGAGTGACTGTCCCTTCCTACAGCCTTTGCTAAGAGCAGGATCTGGCTGAAACAGGTGTTTGGCACTTTACTGGAAGCTGAACTCCTGAAGCAGGCCATTCACTCTTAAATGTATTGAGTATCAAAGAAATGTAAAATAGAGAGCATGTTAATGAACAGAAATCAAGCAATGATGTTTTTGTAAGCATGTTCTCTCTGTGCTTAATTTCATTTTTAAATATAGCAGTGGCCTGTTCATCCTTAAAGGAAAGCTGCATTCTTTCTACATGGGAAGGAAAGGAAAATATGTAAGTGACAAAGCAGAATTTAAATGTACCTAAAATACTCTTTAGCTCCCTGGTTTGCTTTTCTTCTGGTCCCCACCCTTGAACTCCTTGCTTTGTGGACTGAGGAATATGTGCCACTGGGGGTGGGGCATGAGAGGGAAGCTTCTCCTAATTCCACTCAACCTGTAGGAATGATGTGGCAAGACTGAAACTGAGAAGTTATGTTCACTCCAGTTTGCACTGGACTTGTTTGCTTTCCTTCAAAAGCATGCACTATGGGGCTCTGGCCATTCATAGATTTCATAGACATTAGGGCTGGAAGGGACCTCGAAAGATCGAGTCCAGCCCCCTGCCCAAAGGGCAGGAAGTCAGCTGGGGTCATAAGATCCCAGCAAGATAAGCATCCAATTTGCTTTTGAAGGTGTTCAATGTAGCTGCTTGAACCACCTCCGATAGCAGGCTGTTCCAGACCCTGGGGGCTAGGACAGTAAATTCTTCCTTATGTCCAGCCTGAAACGGTCTTGCAGTAGTTTATAACCATTCGACCTCATCATCCCTTGGGACGCTCTGGTGAACAAACGTTCCCCCAGATACTGCAACTCCCTGCAGGACATTGGCATTTATAAGGGTTAGAGACTAAACCCTTTTGATTACTTCACCTCTGGCTATGACTACTTCACCTTGGTTTTTCACCAGATCAAGCGGAAAACCATGCCAGGTAGAGCAGAGGATGAGCACGGTAGGAATAATCACCTTCTTACTATTGCCGTAGAATTGGTGTATGACCAATTAATAAAATTAGACGTATACAAGTCAACAGGACCGGATGATCTTCATCCGAGAGTGCTGAAGGAGCTAGCCGAAGTCATGGCAGAACCCCTGACAAAACTCTTCCACAACTTGTGACGCTCTGCAGAAGTCCCTGAGGACTGGAATAGGGCCAATGTTGTGCCCATCCACAAGAAGGGCAGGAGGGAGGACCCGGGTAACTACAGGCCAATCAGCCTAACTTCCATCCTAGGGAAAATTCTAGAGAAGTTCATCAAGGAGTCTATCTGCGATAAGTGCGCAGAAGGCAAGATTCTGAATGACAGCCAGCATGGCTTCGTCACGGGCAGGTCTTGCCTTACCAACTTCATCTCCCTCTATAACCAGGTAACTCGCCACCTGGACATGAAAGAGCAGGTTCACATTGTATACCTAGACTTCCAAAAGGCCTTTGATCTAATATCCCATGATGTCCTCATGAGAGAATTGGAGGATTGCGGGCTTAACTCTGAGACAGTCAGGTGGGTGAGAAACTGGCTGCAGGACAGGACCTAGAGAGTCGTAGTGAATGGATCTGTGTCATCCTGGTGAGAAGTGGGCAGCGGTGTCCCGCAGGGGTTGGTGCTTGGTTCAGTGCTTTTCAACATCTTTATTAACAATTTGGATGTAGGGGTGAAGAGCTCACTGGCCAAGTTCATGGACGATACCAAGTTACGAAGAAGCATGGTTACATTTGAAGATACAGGTGGACCTAGACAGGCTGGCAAGTTGGGTGCATCAGAACCTGATGAAGTTCAAACTGAGAAATGTAAAGTGCTCCACCTCAGGACGAGCCACCCCCAACACACCAACAGACTTGGTGACACCAAACTGACTAGTACCATGAATGAAAGGGACCTGGGGGTAATAATAGGACACAGTATGAATATGAGCCGGCAGTGCCATGCTGTAGCCAGCAGGGCAAACAATACTCTGCCATGCATCAATTGGTGCATCTCCAGCAAACCAAGGTGATTCTTCTGCTCTTCTCTGCACTGGTGAGACCGCAAGTGGAGTACTGTGTCCAGTTCTAGGCATCACACTTTAACAAGGACCTGGACAAACTTGAGAGAGTCCAAAGAAGAGCCACCTGTATGATTGGAGTCTTAAAAGGCAGGCCACACGAGGAAAGGCTGAGGGATCTGGGACTCTTGAGCCTGAGGAAGAGAAGGCTAAGAGGGGACGTGGTAGCAGCTTACTGCTATACTAGGGGAGTACATCAAAGGCTTGGTGAGCATCTGTTCACTAAAGCACCTGCGGGGAAAACTAGGAGTAATGGCCACAGACTCCTGGAAGATCAATTCAGGCTCAA